GCCATTTACTATGCTAATCTAGCCTTTTAGGGAAGAGACAGTTCAGATGTGGCCACTGAAACAGCCTTCTCATCCTTCTATAGATTTCTATAGGTGTATGTGCGTAGTTAGGATGAAAGTTGTTTGTTAGTAAGTGGACTACTAAATGTTGGTTAAATAATTTAAGATAATGTGGAGTTATCAAAATCCTTTTCTAGAGAACCAATTTAGAAAAGAATTGAGTTGTAAGTTGCTTTGCAAAGCTAATGAAACACTTTTTAACACCTCTTCGAAGCAGCTTCTTGCTCTGTAACTATATTTTCAACACACTCACACAATCTAAAACTAGAATGAGAATGAGAAAGTACTTGATATTACGTGCATCACATGTTGATCAGAAGGCAAGAATTCAATTCAAATTTGATGTCTTTTATTCATTTCTTTTAGAATCATCTATATTAGAAACTTCACTCAAAATTTGGAAAATACTATAAATTGAACCTGAGATCTGTTGCATGCAATCATATATTCCTTGCCATGTGAATTAAATTATGAGAAAATAAACATTCATATATAAAAATAATTAAATGATATGCTAACAAGAAGGCAATCTAGTGACATTTCCTGTTGCTCTGCAAAACGGATGGGGATTACCAAACTCTTCCATAAATGAAAGAAAAGGGCCTAAACCCCATTAGTATAAAGGGATTTTTTGTTTTGGTGAAACACTTCCTTATATGCAGAAGATAGTAAAATAAATGGCTGACATTTCAGTTAAAAAGAATAGGAAGACACATGATAGGCAAGAATTGGGAAGCTGACATATTTTTGTTACCATCAGGCAAACTATTTACAGTAACTCTTAAACATATGATTGTATTAATTATAATTGTATTTAGCTGCATTCTGGACTTGGATTCATGCATCAAAAAAACATTAAAACTTAATTAAAAAAACTATTTCCCTGTGAAATCTACTATTTAGCATGTAATTTGCATATACTTGCATTATGTTGATTTCTACTAAATTCAATAAAATGAAATAGAAAAACATTTGTAAGATTGCAACCTGTGAAATCTTTTGATTAAAAAAATAGCATGAGGGAAAGTAATTTGTCAGATAGAAAGCTAAAGGAATAATTCTTCAGGTCATTGGCAGGACAATAACCTCTGAAGCTGCAAAGCCCAGTTCAGTCTCCAACAGTGACTTTTTCTAATAACGAATTAATTGTATGTGTGAACTTTGATCCAAGGGCAGGCGTGTGACCTCTTCACACTGATAAGTAGCTTCTCTTTGGCCCAGAACAATCCCCTTCCCTAAAAGGTTACATTGATAGCTAACATGTGGTGTTTTTGAGTCATAAAGCTCTGCATAAGATTCCAGGAAGTTAAAAATATAGAATCTCAAAATACACTAATCTATACAGCAGTACTTTCAACACAGAAAGTTTATTTCGGATAAGAAAATAATGCTGAATGATCTGTTAATTTTTGAGCACTAATGCCTTCTGGAAAGATTCTGCTATATGTTTCGTCATATTAAGCAATAAAATGGAAGAGACTTTCTCAACTTTAATGAAAAAATAGGTTCTCATAATCTAATTTTAAAACATATTGGAGTGGGGAAAACATGTTTGCAGTCTTTAAAAAGAATGTTTTGGGTGAATATTAAAACACACAAATTTACTATTATATGATATTTATTCTGCTGTTGAAATGTTAATTAGGGAACAAGATCATCATTTAATAGGTAAAATAATGGTGTACATGCTCTGTTACCTGTAGACTAAAAAGGATTTTGATGTAAAATACTACATACCTGCTGGTTAAGAAGTAAGAGATAAGAGAATAGTAACCCACATTCAGCAAGGGATCTGCTTTAGTATAAATATTTTTCTGTATTCCATTGTTGTTTTAAATATATTTTGATTGTATGGAAATATTTTCTATCTGCTTATTTATATATTGTATTAGGATAGTTGGATTATATCAGTTTCAGGTTTACAGTATTTTAAACAAAGTGAAATTAGTTTTTTTTAAAGCATTTATTTATTTCAAGTGGAACTATTGATAATAAATTGGAGAAACATAATTGTTTATAACAATAGAAATAGCTCTCACAGTTTTAGGTGCATGCATCCACATCGTTAAATTATTTTATTGCAGGAATGCCTATAAATAGCAAATTAAATTCTTACCTCACCCCAGTGTTCTACTATTATATTTTATAAAATTTTGTAGTATTATATGTTATATAATTTCTATAGACCAGAGTTATACTTATTTAAATATGTAGCTATTTCAATTATCTGTATATAATTGTACTAAGAACTCTCAGGAAACATGGGAATGTTCTGTAGAGAAGTCGTACAAAATATCTGTAGATCCATGTATCCTAACCATACCTCATCAATGGCCTCAGTAATTGAGAAGAAACTGGTCTGAGAGTGCTTATCTTTTTAGACAGTTAAGGAAACTTTACTTTAAATCTTGCAAGCACAACAAGGGAATTCCCTTGGATTTTGGTGCCTGTTTAACGTTGCCTACCATTTCAGCTCCCCAAACAGAAAATGCTTCAGTATTTAAATGCAACTATAGAAACAACCTATTTTATTGAAGTATTCTGTGTGTTTGCTGTAGCTTATTATGTATTGGTTTTTTTTAAATTAAGAACTACATAAGAATTTCATCTTAGATTTCTTTCTTAAATGGCAACTCCTCAAAGATCAGGAAGATCAAGAAAACCTTTCTTTTTAAAGGTCTTCACGATAGGCCACTTATGCTCTGTATAAACATCCAATTATCAGTCTATGGTCAAAACTGGTGGGAGAATCTGATTTGGCAGTAAAAATCATATCAGATGGGAATGAAAGAAAGTTCTATATACCAAGTCAAATAATTGCCCATCTTATTATAACTTTTGTTGAGAAACAGTATTCCAGGATTCCTGTCATGAATATTAACATGCCCTACATAGGCATGCTAGGGATTGAACTTGGGATATTTTGAATCAGTATGTGCTTTACCATGGACCCACAGACCTTGCCTAAAGATACATGTAATAATTAATCTGAATTCTTCCCTGCTCATTGGGCCTGACATTTTGTGGCTTTTTCTGATCTCTATTATTCAAGAAAACAAAATGTATGGCTCCTTACCATTCACAAGTTGTGTGACATTTCCTGGACCAACTGACCACAGAGGATAACCATTCATTCCACTGGATATTGCTATGCTGCTCTTTACACCATTTCAGAATACTATTATGAAACATTACTGACAGAAAACTATGATTTCTTTTGAATTAAACACATACCAATAGAATAATACCAAGTGTATTTTAATGATAAAAATGATTTTTAATGATATACTTTAATGACACATGCAAGCTTTAAAGATTAGTTTTAAATATCATTAATCATATATTTCTAAATCTTGGCATTTAAAAATACATTAAATAATATAGGTAAAAGTATATACACACGTTGTGAAATATAAAGAAATAAAAAAAATATTCAATACACTGTATTGAGTAAAGAACAGTTCACAAGTTAATGTACCACTTGCATGCTTCCAACTTCTATAAAATATAAACAGCATTTCACATAGAATTGTTATTGTCATGCCCTAGCATATAATTTGTATATATATTGTTGTTGTTTCTATTTTATTTTCACGTACACATGACTAAAAATATTTTACACTGCTGCGTGTTTTCAGTACAATTCTAATAGATGACTTATATAGACAATTTCTTTATGATGTCAATGATACGTTTAGTCTCCAAACAAACTCTATAGGGAGGTTATGTTTTGGAATAACATCCTGTGTTTTTGTGCTGTTCAATTCTTTACTGATGGTCTGAGGTTGCATTGTATTAACTCTAGGTATTTTCCAACGTTAATTGATATCCCAGGTTTGTCCAGAGGAAAATCTACAGCTCTACACAACATGCTTGACAAGTTATTATATTTATTTTAGTCAAAGCTTGAGTACACAGGATCCCTCATAGAGGTGGTCTATTATTGGAGTGCCATATGCTTTTTGTTTGGGAAGAAAGCAGTCCCTGTGTCATACTGTTACAGAGGGTATTCTTTTTCAAGGATGTTGTTCCCTTGAGGACCATATCCTGCCAGAGTTCCAAAGTCCAGTAAGACCTTTTGCAGCTCTTATTGTGTAAAAAAAATCTGGGAAGGAGGGAAGAGTTAAACAATAACAACAAAAAAAAGTAATTCTAGAAGGTATAGTAGACCCATGTTGAAGAACATGAATTTCTGAAAAGGAAAGGGCAAAATTAACATTTTCATTAAGAACTTGCAATAACTGTCAGAAAAGCATGCCCAGAAAAGTAAGTTTCATGCTTTATCTGATGTAGAGTGACTAACTACTTAGAAACTGTTTAGATATAGTAAATATCATGTTAAATCATGAAAGGGCATGTTATATTATCTCAGATATATAGAAAGAAAAATAGTAATACCTTATCTAATTTCAATATTTTGGATGATATCCGAAATTAAGGAGCCATATACTTTATATGGAATGAATTGGAACAGAATAACCAATGCACAATATATAAGCTTAGATAAATAGTGTTACCATTATAGATGAAGAAGAAAAAGTAGTAATTCCCAGCTAATGTCAGGACTGCAGTATTTATTATCTCCCAGCCACATTCAGCACACCAGGTGCCAACAAAATACTTGGCAACTCTGCTAGGGTTTGCTGTTCCATGCAAGCAGAATAAACAAAAAGTAATGTGAAGGTTTACCTATTAAGCTATTACAGTCCAGATATACTGGCGATTAACTCAGAATTTCAAGTAGGCTGTGGATTAATTCTCCATTCTATGTTCCAATGGTTTGAAATTACTACCTGTAATTGTGAAATTGTGTTCTAAGACACAAAGTTTTTCATTATCAGAATTTCAATGGAATACCACTAGTGTGAAAGAGGAACTATTTCTTCTTGTTTGTCCAACAAGAGCCAAACACAATCTTTTCTTTTAAAAAATTTCCACAGGTTCCACAACACTGCATTCTCATCAATGAAGAATCAATGAACCTTTTGAATCTCTATGCATCTCCTTCTTTACCTAATATCACTTTAGGACTTCCAGCAGTACAACCACCACTCACAGTAAGTGACTGGTTTAGGAGTTTTGTTGACTTTAGTTGAGATGTGTTAGGATACTCTCAAGTTGTTATTTCAAGGCAGAGTTAAAATAATACAGAATGATTTCAAAGAAAAAAATTATATACTGTTGAAATAGACAGTCTTTATTTTACATTTTCCCTCAATAATTTTGTTGTTATTTCAAAGTAAAGAAACAAATTATCATAGATCTATTAATTTTCAACTTATGTATATGCCAAGGCAATTTAATTCTTTTGACTCCCACTTTTTGTATTTATCTTTTACCAGCTTCTTTGTCTGACAAGGAGTAAATTTGGGGGAATTGATAGAGATATGAAATGCTAAATGATAAGAAGGGCTGAAGATACCTCTTTTACCTGCATATCTCTATATTAAATATTATCTTGTGCCATGGGAATAATAAAACTTCTTTGTTCACTTTTTAATTATATAATTTGGAAGTTGTCTTTTTTAATATTTTTTTCATTTGCTCTCTAGGTATCATCATCATTTGCAGAAAAACAAAAGAATGAGATGCAGTCCCCCAGAGGGACTATCAGTTCACTTTCAAGTCCTCAGCCCATTGTTCCAGAGGGAAAGCCAAACTATAGCCATCAGGCTATCTTGCAACATTTGCTATTGAAGGAGAAAATGAGGCAGCAAAAACTTCTACCCAGAGGTAATTATGAATGAATTATTGGAAAAGACTTTATTTTTAACCAAAAATTCAATTGTAGAGAAAAATAGGAAGTTGCCTTGAACTAACCCAACATCTATTATCTCAAGGATAAACAATCTTCAGTTCAGAGTTCACCTGCAAACCCTAAATTGCTTTTATGTTGCCCCTAAAATACACTCTGACCTAAATGGCCTAGTTTCTTGCCAAGTGTGTTTTTTCCCCAATTTTAGGTACAAAATAGAATACAATTATCATTGAATCATACAATGCTTAAAATATAAAATAGGCATGAATCCATCTTATTCTCCCAAAAACCCAGTTCCAGTAAATCCAAGACCAGTCCATTGCAATCATAAATAGCAAAAAATATTTCTCCAAGCTAAAGAACTGTCTCCATATAATTTCTAATATATATTAATTGTCAGGATCAGCAGTCTGGTTATTCAAATCTTTTAAAAGATTTACAAAGGACAGAAGTATGAAGTTTTTACATTTTATTTACCAGGATTATGCTTTCATCAAACTCATTAACTTTTATATTGTTTTTTTAAAAAAAATATTAATGTAATCACTGTGTAATCATTTCTATCATTTCTAATTAATTAATTTGAGCACTAAAATCAAGTGTTTATATGTGCAGTCTCTATGATAAATCAAATTGCCGATACTAAATTCAGTTTGATGTTTGCAGTAAATTGTTTGTTCAGTTTGAAAGAAAAATGTACATTGGTGATTCAAATATCACACATGCCTAATTTAATTAGTTCAATTTTATGAAAAACGATAATGATAGTCTTACATTTCATTGGCTTTTCTTTTGATGAGAGGTATATTGTTGACCTGCAGGTACAGGGCCTCTTCATCCACAGTCACCATTGGCAACCAATGAAAGTGTCTCACCTGGCCTAAGAGCTGGACATAAGTTACCTCGACATAGGCCACTAAATAGAACTCAGTCTGCTCCCCTCCCTCAGAGCACCTTGGCTCAACTTGTCATTCAACAACAGCATCAGCAGTTTCTGGAGAAGCAGAAACAGTACCAGCAGCAAATTCACATGAACAAAGTAAGTTTTTATTTGAGTGCAGTACATAGCAGAGTGAAGTAATACACATATATTCAAGACAAAAATGGCTAGATATAAGTTCAGTTTACAGTAGAGGTACCTTTACACAATTTTTAAAAAATCATTGCCAAGTATCAGAATTTTCTGTGAATGTGATTATACAACAGTATTTTGGTTTAATGATATAAAAATATTAACACATCTTTTCTGCAACCATGCTCTTCTGTCTGCAAGTGCTTTTGAAAGCAGAGCAGAACTCAATTAACCATCACTTTCTATTTCATCTAAACAAGAAAATTACAATTGTAAGTATTGAAACAAGCCAGGATTTCAAATCACATTAATGGGAGAATTTTGCTTTATATTCATGTAGGCAAGTAGGGAGAATGGAAACAGCAGCATGAAATCCAAGGCTAATTTATAGTTCTACTTATTAAGCTGAAATTTGAGAGTTCATACACAGCCTATATATTTTCTAAACAGGCCATTATGCATAATGTTACACAACAGAAACAGTTATTTTAATTTACAACAACATGGCATAAAATTAAAAAATAGAAATTAACAAGTAGTCCCATTCTAAAATGTAGAAACTCATTGGCACTTAATTTAGGCCTATACAATTTCTGTTACAATTAAAAAGATTAAAAATTAGTTAAAAGTTACAGTTAAAAAGATTAAAAAGCACTTAATGATCAGAATATAGTTATTCATTGTCATCATTTATCTATTGTATGATCATTTTATATTTTTGAATGATAGAACATTTTGTAATGTATTTTATACATCTATTTCATGATTTTAACACATCATATGTTTATTCTTATAGGAGTTTATTTAGGCAACTTCTAGGATTCCTGAGTACAAATTATTTTTCTCTCTTTTTGGATAGTAGATATAATCATATGACAAAAATAATTTCAAAATATGTTATATTCATCTCACTAGGTAATTTTCTCCCTTGAGCTGCTGATTATCTTAGGTTATCTTCCATTCCTATTATTCTATGTTCTTAAAATTCCCAGTCAAATAAGAAACACAACCTGAATTTTAACTATATAGTTTATACAGTGGTTTGATTAATAAATCTCATTTTAATTAAGAAAAATGAAGACTAGAGAACTTCAAAGTTTAGATCTGATCCTTGCATGTTAACCTCTCTCAACTTGGATGTTTTGATTACTCAACTTCAACTCTACTGGGCTTTTCATTTACTATGTGTTCCATATGTTTAAATAAGATGGCATAGGTATATCTTGAAGATCCTAGGTTTTCAATATATTTTGCCATTGTGCAGTTGCTTGAAGAAAAGCAACCTTTTATTACTGTTTGAAAGACAGAATCTCTCTAATATTTTTCTCAAGGAATATAGCATAATGATTAGCTGCATTTCATGTTTTTTCCATAAAAATGGTTTTCAATTGATATTAATTTCTTATGTTTTCAGGCATGTTATTATTTTGTTATATTAATCAATTAAGATCATTATCATCATTTAAACCAGAATAAAAATGTCTTCATTGAAGGTTTTGGGCTGCAATATAACCAACCATGCTAGTTTAATGAAAGTTGATGGATACTTTATAGTTTTCTTATCAAGAATTGGGGAAGAATGACTTATCTAGACTGCTTCTATGCCTAAATGAAGACTAGAATATGAATCTTCCCAGCCTTAATCCAGTACTTTAACCACTATATCACACAGACATTCATAGCCATATACTGCCATCTGGAAATGCAACATGGTCTGCCAAATGCAAAATAATATCTCCTGGTTTTTATAGTTTGAAGCAGGAAGCTAAGGTAGTTCTAATAATGAAGCCTACTATTTTCTATTAATAAAAACTGGGAAAACTATATTATTATAAATTTCCCCCAGTAAGAATATTTTTGTATTTTGAATCAATTATACTTCTCTTATAATCAGTTCCAGATATAAACCAACACAGTTATTAGAATGATAACTACAAAAACTAACAGAGACCCAAAATTCAGATTTCTCTGGAATATTTCTATTATACTATTCTACAAGTAAATTGGAGCAACAATTTAGCAATATTTCAGTTTAGTGAAAGAAAAAAAAAACCCCAGATAGTTTCTTCTGTCATTTGTCAGAAACTGAGGTTTTGATGTAAGAAACAGTATCCCTTCTCATTGGAGGTTTATACCTATGGGATGCAATACAGTGACCTTCTCAAAACATTTTAGCTGAGATGCAAATTTTGACATCTCATCTAGAAGTCAGCAGAGAGTCTTGCCCTCACTTTCTGAAAAATGGATGTGTGGAAACCTGAACTCGGCTTCCTATTTAAAGATACTTTGCTGTTGCCAGATTTAATATAATTATATCAAGATGACAGCTTGTTTCCTTCTAGAGTCCTTTGATCATAATTTTTAGAACTCCATTCTGCCCAATAAAAAGAACAGAATTATGGCAGTTCCAGTTAAATAAATTGTCACAGGTATCAAAAGGCTGACACTGCAACAGAACTTTTACTGTTTCAAGTATCTCTGATGTAAAAGATGCCATTCCTACTCACACCATGCACACTAGACTATTTTCAGTCATCTGAAATATTAAAAATAAAATCTGCCAGGTTCCATATTTGCTTTCCCCAGGAGCCAACTATTTTCCCCAAGTAAGCTTTCAAGCAGTCATTACTATAGTGCTTTACTACTTTAGTACCTAGCATTAAGGGGCATACTGCCTCTGATCTAGGGCGTAAAGTATAGTCAGGATGACTAATAACCATTAGTTCTTATTTTATTATTTTGTCATTTTAAAAAAATTGATAGCGATCTGTATAGCTTATGATTGAAACTAGATGTTCTGCAGATATTCTTTTTCATTTGCTAAAATCCATACCATTCAGCTTAGTGGCATTTATAAACTTTCACTATTTTTGTCAGGATGATGAAAGCATTAACTTACCTCAAGCCCCAGCCCTTTCTATGTGTCATGACCTTTAGGAAAAAAGTGAAATATTCCTAGCACTCTGACCCGCTTTGCCAATCTCACAGATAATTCTGATTCAGATTCACTTTCTCATATTGTGAGAAAAAGAAAAAAAGTACTGTACATTCTATTCAATTTCTTCCACATCATTACCCAATTTAAATCCTGTTATAAACTTTCTATCTATTTATTTTTAAGCTACAAATTTCCACTGTTGTAAATTTCAAGTTGCATGCATCCTTGAATTGACAGAACTGAGGATGATTCTGTAGATTTGAATGAAAAATCTCCAGCATATATTTTTCCGTTTTTTCCCCTAGAACCGTACACTGGATTGTATTCTAAATCAGTATTTATAGAATTCCAATATTCTTTTCCTGATTTATTTCTATCAGTTCCAGATCACATGAAATTAAAATTTGTATTCTGGTTCAACTGAAACTTATACATTATCTGCAAAGGCAAAAATACCTAGTCGACATTGCTAAAAACTATTTTTGACCTCCTGAGGTTTCTCTGTTAGAGTTGAATTCAGGACAACTCTAAATTATTCACTTATAATTATTCATTTATTTATTATTCAAAGGGAGTACAGATACCTATTACCAAAGATCTGGGTTTTTTTTTAAAAAAATCCAGATTAATCCATTTCCCTATCCAGAGCACCTCATTTGTTCAAATTAACTTCCAATTTATTTGCCTTTGTCTAACTCAAACATCTGCCTGAGTTCTACAGTAAAATGAGAGGTAGAGCTGAGTTTCAGCCATAGTTTGAGAGCACTTCAACAACAAAACTTCGAACAAATCTGCCCTTTTATAAGATACAAATATGACATAATTTATAATTTATAACATAATTCTTCAATGATGGTGTTCCTAATCTGACAACCTAGTCCTTCTATTGTCAGTCTAAAGCAAACATAAATCTAGAGAAGACATGTATCACACATGTCTATAAAATAGGTACCAAACACAAATAGTTGTTCTTGACTCAGCAGCTAAAGTTACAGTTTATGGCTTTTGTCAGGAAAACGCCTTGAGTAAATTGCAAAAATCCATCCTCAAGATTATAACAACATTCATATCTGTAGAGTTATCCCAAAGCCTTAGAATGGTATGGCAGATTCCTAATCCTTGAAGTGAACTGCAATCTTACAGTGTGGTATAGAACTCTTAATTGTAAAGAAGTCAAGGTTATCAATAAATAATTATTCCATCTTGTAATTCACATGATTCTTAATCATCTATACTAGATATTTTTTAATTATTATAGCAATATTTACTTTGGTATTGCTATTTTTATAAAATATTAATTTTTACTTAAGACAATTTCTCTTAATGGATTTTATTCAGGTTGAAAGAAGAAAAATCTATATTTATTTATTTATTTATTTATTTATTTAATTTGTATACCGCCCTTCTCCCAGAAGGGACTCAGGGCGGTGAACAGCCAAAATTAAAAAACTATGTTTTCATTATTTAAATAAACAGCTGCTTAATATCAGAAGTGATAAAATGCATGGGTGGATCTGTACATAATATTGCTTTTAGCTAAACTGACTAGTATAAATTATGTCCCTTAGGAATTTATGTCATGCTTTTTAGAGTACTTTGCAGAGAGCATGCAGCCTAATTTATCTCTACAGTCCTTTATTTTGCTCCTATTAGTTGGTCGTTTTGTTCTTTTGAATATCTACATGGCTATTTAATCTCCTGCTATGGCAGGACTTCCCCTAGACCCTCCCTCCCTCTCATTATAATCTCCTTCCTTCCTTCCTTCCTTCCTTCCTTCCTTCCTTCCTTCCTTCCTTTTCCTTTTCCTTTTCCTTTTCCTTCCTTTTCCTTTCTTCTTCATTCCCCTCTTTCCTTTTTTCTTCTTTGCTCTCTTCCCATCTTCCCATCTTTTTCTTTGTCTTTCCTCTTTCCTTTTCTCCTTTCCTGTCCCTTCTTGGATGCTCAAATGCAAAAGAGAAAGTATTTCTCCTTTTGTTTTGTTCTGCTTTTAGTTTGTTTTGCTAACCCTCAGGCAGAGAAAACAGAGCTT